GACTATCTATGCGAGAAGGACTACTTTATGAAATTGTACATTCATTTTTTTTATATTACTTTTTTATATATAACTAACAATACCATTACAGGTATAGCTTTAATACTTATAGGAAATAGGTTATAATCATAACAAGATAAAAAGAAAATTCATTTAATATATATCACAGACAACATTAAAATTAAAAATCTTATTATATCGTATTATTAAAATATCATTAACAATATTACTACAAACTATATTGTTATTTAATATAATGTCTAGCTTTATGGGTTTCACATTTCTAATAAAGTTGATATGTAAAACGAGGCCATCGTTGTTGAGTTTACAATAAGTAATTAATGTTAGTAAATAAGCTAATTAAGATGAATTGTAAACTTGTTTGTGGTCCTATCAATAAACGAAAAAAAAAAAAAAAAAAAAAAAATCATCACTAATCTCATTTGAAGTGTGCCTGGGGTGGACCCCTCCGGCCGGCGCTCGGCTTCGGAGCAGCCGTCTGCTTTAGGTGACGCGGCTGGGGGCCGGGCGGGGGTGCCGCCTCCCCGGCGATATTCGCGGCTGTGAATACAATTTCAACATTAATTCCGCTCAATCTATATTGATCATCATTTGTCATTGAGTTAATTGTTTCCTTAGCCCGCTAGGGGCATTTCTTTTGTTCTGTTAATAATTTTTCTTTATTTTTGTCCAACCCCTGGATCCTCCCCTCTCCCTTTCTTCCCTACTCCCATCCCTCTCCCTTACCCCTCCTGCGCTTCCTCAATTCCTAGCTTCCCCCCCACTCGCACTCCCCCTCCTTCCTCTGTAATTAATGTTCAAAGCTCAATAAACAACTCATATTCTATTTGTACTTCTTCGTATTTGTATTGATATTTAAGTTTAGGAAAATGCAAATTTCAGAATATATACTATAATTGGTTTATTCGTTTCCTGCTAAAATTAACTTTCGGTAGAGTCGCCATCTATACTCCATTCATTATAACAATAGAAAAAAAAAGAGGATCTCAGATGCAGCAGTGCAGAACATTTTATTTACAAAATAAATATAATTATATATAAAAAAAAAGATTATAATAGTTTTGTAGAAATTTTGAACTTTAGGTAGTCTGAAAGAGTTGGGCAATTTTACATTTTCTCGGGGTTGAGATGAGAGTAGCATTTTCTAAATTCATCTTTTACTGAGAGCCAACATGGAAATAAAACTATCTATCTGTTGTTTTGATTGATTCTAATTGTAAGTGTATATAATTAGAATATAATTTAGTTATATCTATGCCCAGAAAATAAAGGTAAACAAAATGAAAGTTTTATTGTTACTGTTATAACATTTATTCAGATATTATTAGACTATTGATTAAGACATTGGAAAAACTTGCTGAAATGTTAAAGGTAATTGTTGTAGGACTCGGGCCTGCATCGGAATCGCAATTTAGGAAAACTTAACAACAAAAAGATAACAACTAAAACAAAACTATAAGAAAACAGTAATTACTCAATCACCGAAAATGGCAAAACAACAAGAAAGGCAGTAGCATTCACAATGAATGACAATCCCAGATGACGTATTTTGACTATTATGAATAAATCATAATCTGACAAAATTAAAAAAAAAAAGCTGTACTGCCGAAACGTTTGAAGGGATTAGGCAACGTTTTAAATTTGGTAGAGTTATAGTGACATGAGAATCGTGCCGAAACTATTTAACCCTGCTTCTTTAGGTTCTTTAAGATGAACACTTTTTATTGTAATTTTTTTTTTTTTAATTGAGCTTTAAATTATTATTATCAAACCACTGTAGAACATTGTCGAGAGCATTATTTACATCGTCAAAACAATCATTACCCCTCTCAACTTTAAACAGTAAAGAGGTGTCATCTGCAAATAATACTGTCTCGCACAAATTCTTCGTAAAGTGAGGAAGATCATTATTTTATTGTTATTGTTTTATTATTATTTTGTTATAGTTTTGTTTTTGTTGTTAAGTTTTGTTAAATATCGATGATGCCGGTGCAGGCCCGAGTGGTCTACAACAATTAAACTTTAATCTCCCATACCTACCTTCAACCTTTGACATTTCAGGAAGTTTTTCTAATGTCTTCATCTATAGTCTAACTAATGTCTGAATAAATGTTATAATAGCAAATTCATTTTGTTTACCTTTCTTTCCTGGGCATAGATATAACTAAATTCTATTTTAATTATATGCACTTACAATTAGAATTTATCAAAACAACAGATAGTTAGTTTTAGTTCCATGTTGGCTTGGGAATGAAAGATGAATTAAGAAAATGCTGGCCTAATCTCAACCCCGAGGTATCGTAAAAAATGAAAAATTTCCCAGCTTTTTCAGAGAGAATACCTAACGTTCAAAGTTTCAACAAAACTATAATATATATGTTTAAATTCATCTTTAAAATAAAATGTTCTGCACTGCTGTTTCTATGACCCTCTTTTTTTTAATGTTATAATGAATGGAGTATAGTAAGATATTTTTTTTAATACATCCTGCTGCCTATTGCAGCTAACTTTGTGAATTTATTGATATTATTTTCATTTGTTAAGTCATCAACAGTTTGTTTACTGAGTCAGACATTAGCAAAGTGTCACTTTTAAAACATACTTGACAGATACTATTATAAACAGGACATTTTATATGTTGATACAATACATTATGACCGCAAAAGAAACATCTCCTCTTTCTGGATATAGCAGCTAATACTGGTTCCGACATACTGTTTTGGGTACTAGATGTGCTAGAGTGATTTTGTTATGAAGAATGTAAAATCGAGGTATTAACAGCGTTAAATGACAAAGCAGCATTGAAAGACTGTGAGTTTGTTTCGGCCACTTCAAGTGAGATCGCTTGATTAATTGCCTGATCTAAAGTGAGCTCAAAATCAGCTTTAATAGTTTAGTTGCAATATGTGGAGATATTAGCAATAATCCAAAACATAAAGTAAAGCTACTTTTATTTATTCGAGTTAGATTCGGGATCAGGTAAAATATTATTTGTTTATCGGTCGGTTCGGGTGATGTAAACGAGAGTGTAGAAGTGTATGTTTGTGCATAATAATTTGTCGCACTAAAAAGTATTTTCAATGCCATGAAGATTGACATTTATATATTGACATAGTAAATTATTTTGATTAATTTAATAATATTATAATAGTAATTTATTATTTGATATAAGTAGATGTTTAGGTTATAGTATATTGGTATGTTTTTCAATGTTTCCTTATATATTTTAAATATAGCATGTTTGATTGCCATTATTCTATAACCCAGATTTCTTCTTATTTTAGATAATAAATTATTATTATATTATTATCAAATTAGTTAAAATAATCATAAGTAGCAAAGAAAAAAAAAACATTCTCCAATCCTCGAGGCTAGGCTTTATTCTCGTTTCTTTTGCTTTAAAAAAATAAAACGTCAATCTGACAGTGACAGTATCTGTTATTGTTTTCGTCAATATTTTTGTATCTGCGATTTTCTGAACAAAGCAGTTCTTTGTTGGTGCGTCGTGAGCGAAATATTAAATTAAAAGTTGTAATTATGTGGGATGAGGGTAGAGCCAGTGCAGCTGGTACAACGAGTAACAGCATTAGCAAATATTCTGAAATAACTAAACACCACGATGCTGTGTTTAATGATTTAATGAGAGAATGCAAACATAGTGCCCCTGGAGCTCGACTGTCTGCGCGTTTGCGGACCTCCCTTGAAAGGTTTACCAAGTTTCATAATTTCCATTTGTTATGTATTATATTTATAAAAAAAAAGAGTATTTTTTTCTGTATTAAATTATTATTTAAGGTTTACATGACAATCGATGTACTTTTTGTACCTAGTCTATAACTACGGCTTCGAATGTTGGGTGTAAGCAAGGAAACTGTGCAGTTTTGTTCATATTGAGTGAATGACTTACAGTTGTACAGAAATCTCCTTTTATCAACTTGTTAGAAACTCTATTAAAACAGAATCTGATCTTATTGTTCCCATCTCTATGAAGTCTTTGAAATTTGCTAAAATGTCGTGGTATTTATGTATATTAAGAGATTGTTTATTTATAACTAATAGTTGCAGTTTGAAATTAATGTGAGGTAATTGAAATTTTAATGCAAATCTGAAAATGCAACCAACAACAAGAAATTTATGAAATTCTGTTTGTTTTGTATTGATACCATTTTAATACAGTAAATGTCAGTGGTTAAGGTTTTTAAATCCATATTTACCAGGCCTGGGTGTATGATTTTTATTAACCAAAGCAAAAACTACCTCTCTTCCAACGGATTTTTATATTAACATATTTTTGCAGTGTATGATTTTTTTCGTTTATTTCAATTAGGGATTTCGATGCATGTCCATATCACCCATAGCCTATGTGTTTTAACTGTAAGTAAGTATTATACAATGATAACTTTTGGAGTCCCCTGACACTTGCCCCCCTTAGATCCAGGTCTGATATTTACTACATATTATAACTGTCATCTCTTTAAGAACTTAAACTGAGCTATGTGGCACAGTAGTTAGTGCATTTAGTTTGCAGTATGGAAGTTGAACAACATCATCAACAAAAGGCTGGTTATAGAATGTGTGACCGAAAATGTATTTATTATCTTGAACTTCTCAATAGTTTAGAACTCAGTTAAATTACACATCTGCATTCACAAATTGACTTGTGTATAAATTCTGTCCATATCTGTGCCTCAGTAGTGGGAAAATTAATGATGTTGATGTGTGTGTGGGCAGGATGTGTCCAGCAGAGCGTCGTACAGTGGTGTGTCGCACGCAGGAGGGCTGTGCGCCATTGTTTGTAGCGTGCAAGCGCGGTAATGTGGAGCTGGTGGAGTATCTGGTGCACGTGTGTTGTGCAGAACTCGAACAGCGTGGTGTATATGAGGTGGCCGATGACCGATCCATCCACTCTGTCACTCCTCTCTGGTGAGTCACATTAATACATAACTGTCCAATAAAAGGAGCATATTAATGAATGTATGCCTGTTTCTTTATTCCACTATAACTTTTGAAAAACCTAATGACAAGTGCTTGTAACAGCCTAGACTGAATGAATAATTTTGATTTGATTTATATACATCATTTTGAAAAGTATGAAAAGCTTTTATATTTTGATATGGCAATGTGGGTATCAAATTAAAGAATTTGATGAGTTAGTTCCAAAAATCTATTATTTGTATACATTAAAAGGTCACTTAGAAGAATCAAATTAAAATAAATAATTTAAAAACACAACTGCATCAAACTAAACGAAACAAGTAGTATTATGGCTTGGCTAAACTTCTCATTGCAGTTGAGGGTTTGCAGTTGAACCTCTTGGTTACTTACAAATGTTCCAGAGAATAGGGCATTCTAGTTTGTTTGAAATAATACTCGTAACCATTTAATTAAAAAAAGTCATAAAATAAATATATCGTAAAAATTAACATTGTTATTGTTGTGGGGTTCTGCCGCTAGCATTCAAGATATTTTTGTTCTATGAAAGAGAGTTGTCCATGTTATATTTAATTTATGGTGTAGGGAATCTCTCAGAGAAATATTTAGAGAAATAGACTGTTGCTTCTCAACACATCTATGAAAATATTATGTATACAAGAAAAAAAGTAGTGTTCTTAATCTTAACACAAGAAATCATAATTAACTTGCCATTCAAGCTTCAGATTTCAGAAAACTAGAGGATCACTTTTGGTAAATGCAGTGCTATGTTCAATAAAGTTCCACAAAATGTATACCATAAATAAATTTAAAATTAATGTGAAGATCATACTTACAAGTAAAGGTTATTATTATAAAGTAGATGATTATTTTAAGGATCGCAATTGCATGGAATTAATAGCCTTCGCTTTGTTATATAACGTACAACGTAGGTAATACCTACAGACTTTGAAATATTACAGTATTTATTATAATACATATTATTTTGGTAATGACATTATTTATGTATGACAAAGAGCCGGTAAGTTTCTTTCGCTCGTCTTTTAACTGACAGGAGGGGGAGGGGAAAAGATTTTTTTTTGACTATTCAAAAGTGCTCGTATTAATCGTAGGTCACTCGAATAAAGAGATATTTTTATTAAATTTATTGTAAAGAGGCATATGATATATAAGTATTGATTGATTGGCAGGTGCGCGGCGGTGGAGGGGCGCGTGGAGGTGCTGCGCGTGCTGGCGGACGCGGGCGCGGACGTGGACGCGTGCAGCGACAGCGGCTCCACGCCCGTGCGCTCCGCCTGCTTCATGACGCACCTGGACGTGGTGCGCTTCCTGCTGCAGCGCGGGGCCGACATCCACCGGCCCAACCACAACGGCGGCACGTGCCTCATCAACTCCGTGCAGTCCGTGCGCCTGTGCACCTTCCTGCTGGAGCGCGGCGCGCGCGTGGACGCGCAGGACATCCAGCGCAAGACGGCGCTGCACTACGCCATCCAGGAGCACCGCCTGGAGACGGCGCGCCTGCTGCTGGACCACGGGGCCGACCCGCATCTGGCGTCGCGCGCGGGGGACGACGCGCTGCGGATCGCCTGCCTCAAGGGGGCCGCGCAGGTACCTACCGCTTTAATGTTTTTCAATATTTATGATAACAAAGTAGATTTTTTTTTTGTTTAAAAATCATCCCTAGGTCGTTTCGAATCTCACTTCATTTCACTTGTGCTACAAAACGTTTAAAGAATACCAATTCAAGTGTAGTCAAGTTCGAGAGCAGTTTAAGGTGAATTCGAATTCGGATTTTAACGAAATCGCTCTGCAGTATTGCAATTTAATTAGATGAGCTCCTTCAGTTTTTTAATCGTACTGTGTTGATTTATTTATCATGTCGAGAAATTTACACGAATTTCGAGAGAAAACTCACGATCGAACGCTTCGATGAGTCGCAAAAGAGGGTCGAGCGTTTCTCTAAATCGTCCACATGTCGTCAGGGTCAAATCGGTGACCCCTTTCGAAATTCAAATCTATAGGTCTCGAAGGGATCATTCCTTCCATAGAATCTTCCGGTCGATTCACCCTAGCGCGCGCGGAGTCTCGAAGCGCATCAGAGCGCCGAACTCGAAATCGATACGGCGAATTCACCTCCATCTCGAGGATCGAGGCGCTTCGGTTCGATCGTCCGCTGGCACGAAGCGTCTCGTCGGTGTCCCGCGGGGGACGGACAGGCGCCTATTCGTTCGGAACACGCGAACGTTCGCTAGGATAAGTTTATCGTCGTCCGGACCGATGTGCACGGTGAAGGTGGAATCGCAGGTGGTGTCGCTGCTGTGCTCGCGCGTGCGGTACAGCGCGGCGCGCGTGGCGGACGCGTACGAGGTGCTGGGCGCCACGCAGCTCGACGAGTTCAACGACGTGACGGCCGCGCTGGCCGCCTGGCGCCGCGCCACCGCCATCCGGCACGGCGGCGGCGGCGGCCGGTACATAGAGAAGACCGGCTTCTGCTGCGAGGCGGCGTCGCGCGCGCTGGGCGGGGCCCGCGAGTGGCGGGGCGCGGACGAGCTGGAGCTCATCGCCACGGACATGGACGCGCTGCGCACGCACGCGCTGCTCGTGTGCGCGCGCGTGCTGGGCGCCGACCACAAGGACACCGTGCTGCGGCTCATGTACAGGTGCGCGCTTCGTCTCTGGTAGTGAGAAGAGAGAGGTCGCGCCGATACTAAACCGGCGTATGTTTCTGGCCGACAGGGGGGCGTCGTACGGCGACGCGTTCCGGTACCAGCAGTGCATCGACCTCTGGACGTGGGCGCTCGAAATACGCATACAGAAGGACTCCCTGCTGTACACGGGTACGTATCGGTCGCGACGTCGTCGGGCGTGTGTATGTATATATGATGTATGTATGTACGTGTGTGTGTCCGCAGACACGTGCCACACGGCGTGCGCGCTGACGCGGCTGATGCTGGACGCGAGCGCGGGGCGGCTGGAGCGCGCGCGGGACCTGCCGCGGCACGAGGACGTGATGCGCGTGTTCACGCTCATCGCGGACAACCTGCCGGGTGCGTGTGCGCCGCCGAGTGCGAGTGTAGCCAGTGGTGTACAGTGTACAGTATATAGTATATGCCCCACGTATGCCCCACAGAATGCCGGCGCGCGCTGGAGGTGCGGCCGGTGCACCGCAAGCAGGCGGAGACGTTCGACCGCGCGCTGCGCTGCGTGACGCACCTGCTGGTGCTGTGCCTGCGCACGTGTGACGTCACGGCGGCGGGCGGCGCGCAGCGGCTGGCGCGCGTGCGTGACGTCACGCGCGCGCTGGTGCAGGCGGACGTGCGCAGCGCGCACACGGGCGACACGCTGCTGCACCTGAGCGTGTCCTGCCTCAACGTGATCCGCTCCACGTACTTCGCCGACGAGCCGCCGCTGCCGGTCGGTACAAAGTATACCCGTGGTATCTTTGTGGATCGAGACCGATCGATGAGGATGCTCGTTCCCTCTAAAAATATTCTCTCATCTTAAACCTTATCGTGAACACAGATCGATGTTTAAAATTGAACAGTTTGAAAAATTCGCGTAAACGGAAAGACGCGGCGTCTCTGGGACCACAGAACACGGAAAAGAGATCAGAAAGGCTATCGTACATCCTCTGTCCGAAAACCGATATCGCCAGTCTCGCTCCACTTTTCGTCCGCCATACATCAGACGAAATATTTATCGGATTATACAAAAGATATCAGATCCACCTTTTCCTGTAGAGAATGAGCCCATTTATTATTTTGCAAACATATTGGATGCTTTGGTGTATTTGGCCATAGCCCATGCCGTATCTTGAATTTGAATAAATGTATTTGTTGCATCTTTAATATCATCACTAGTTTTAAGTTTGATTTGGAAATTTAGTTCATTCTCTTTGATTTCCCGCTACTGATACCAATTAGTGCCTTTGTTGTTTAGTGTGGGGGACTTGTGTTTTTCAGTATCATGACACTAATTGTTAATATAACAGGAATTCGTAGTTCATTCAGGCGTTTTAGGCTGAAAAAGGCTTGAAAGTCTATTTTTTACCGAAAGTCTATTTTTGTTAATACTTTTTTGAAAACCTCTGATAATAATCAATCGTTTTCCGACCCCCATTGAGTGTGAATTCATTATCCATTGGCAATAAATCTATTTCCCTGTGATATCAGGTACCTTTATTTATTTTGGGTTATGGTGGAAAGTAAACAGAGGAGAAGTCGGTGTCACCGAGCTTGCTTTGGACTGTTACGGTCGTTGCCTGAATGACTTCAGTGTTAAAGTGAAGTGATTGTTGGTGTTTAATTTAAGATTTACACCAGTCCCACCATGTGCTGTGCCATCGGGGTGTTTGGTATTAGAGATGGAATATTTTTTATCCTTATAAGATTTTTATTTGTGAAATGAGTTTCAGATACAAGTAGAATTTTAAGGTTTTGTAACTGTAGCAGGATCTTTACTTTGCTTTTGTTGGAAGATGTTCCACGTTTCCGTATATAAGGACATAAAGATAGTTTTTGGACTACAGTAGTTATGAGACTTTGTAGAATACTCATTTCTTATCTTCTGAAAATGTTCACATTGGTTTGAAACGAAACTACAAAAAAGCAACAGTATACTAAAAAAGATCAACGTCTATTTAATCATGATTCAATGTCTAAATCGGAACGGGAATTTAAATGCATTTTTTAGGAAATTAAGAATAAGCGACATATAAAAAGATAGCGTATGTGTAACAGAAATAATGTATTTAAAAAAATAGTTAATGTGCTTTGATTGGTGTAGCTGTCATTAGATAGTAGCACTGAAACATTTTGTAATAAAATATGTTAGTTTCAGAAGACGTTCTTGGTCAGGGAGATTTTGTCAAATGGTTAGGGAAAGTCAGGGAATTTTTTTAGACATTTAGAGTGGACACCCTGTTAAATATTTATTTGCATATAAATAAATTACTATTATTGTTTAAAAATTATAATAGTAGGTAATTTTTTTACGTTACGTTACTCGATTTCGTATCAAGTAAACAGATAAGATCAATAACATCGTTTAAATGAAACTAGTAATATTGACAAACAATGTAATGTAAATAAATGTATATAAAAAAAAATACAATTAGTACAATAATTGCTATTGGAACTTAACCTGAATTGATAATTTAAAAGTATTGTTGTAAATGGTTCAAAATAAAAAAAAATCTTAACAAAATTATGTTACAATATTAAGAATATAAAAACAGATTTTTTCGCTACACCACACTCATTATTACATTAATAATAATAATGGCCTCTTCAGCCGAGGGGAAACCTCCCACCCTCGAATCGTCGAGGGGTCGGGAAGAGTAAATTTTATCCAAAAGTAATAATAATCATTTATTCTTTCAACATAAAATTATGTATTTACATGTGAGTCTTAAGATTCTTAAAAACATTTTTTATTTTAATTTTGTGAGAGACTGGAGCAACTACCGCTGGCATAACTGTAACTGGCATAGGTCATTAATATAAACCAAAAATAACGTTGGGCCAATTAAACTGCCCTGGGGGATGCCAAATGTGACGTCAGCTTCGTCACTAATCCAGTGCTCTATTATGACTCTTTGGGTCTTATCGGTTAGATAGTCACATAGAAGTTTTAATGGAAGGCCTCTAGCTCTAATCCTCTCCGACTTCATCGGGAGGCGAGGGATCAAAACCGTGTCGAAAGCTTTTGCTAGATCAAGAAAGATTATTAGTTAGACTTTCTTTTGTCATCCATCGTTGATATAATAGAATATACAAGGTCATGTACAGCATCGTCTGTGGACTTTCCTTGAAAATTGTAATTGAAAAGATGAGACAAGGTTTTTTGATTCTAGGAATTTGATCAATCTGTTATTTATTATTTATACGTTCTAGAATCTTGGAGAAATTCATATACAAACGCATAAATACAGCCAAGAATAGGGTTACATTTTATTTATTACTACTGTTAATTTTTGATTAAATTTATCTTTTATTATCACTATTTTTATCGTCTTTATTTTTATTTAGTTTTTACTAACTACAACACCGAGAATCGATTATATGTGTCCAGACACTTCACTAGCCATCTAGCGTAATCTATTATGTTACTATTTAAAACGGTGATTTTGCGATATTCTTTTCGTCACGTGGTCAGGACGACGCAACGTAATAAATATGCGTCCTTCTCCGGCGATATATATTTTCTTTGAAATATTTTTTGTGATTCACACAATCGCTAGCATTTCACGAATCTCTTACTAATCGAAAGAAGTCTTTCCTTTGAACCTATTCGAAGACGGGCTTCTGTTTCGCATCGAACAACTGCGCGAGTCGGCATTATATCGGTGTGTCCGCAGCCCATGTTCCCGTGCGTGGAGGCGGTGCGGCTGCTGCTGGCGGCGGGCGCGCGCGTGGACGCCCGCAACGGCGCGCGCAGCACGGCGCTGCACGTGGCGGCCGCGCCCTACAACTTCAGCTCCGAGCTGGTGGAGACGCTGCTGCAGCACGGCGCGCACCTGGACCAGCCCAACCGCTTCGGCGACCTGCCCGCCGCGCTCGTGCTGCAGCACGCGGGCAGCCGCGTGCGCGTGCTGCAGCACGTGAGCCTGGCGTGCCTGGCCGCGCGCGCCGTCGTGGCCGCCCGCCTGCGGCCGCCGCCCCGCGCGCTGCCCGCCACGCTGCGGGCCTTCCTCGACCTGCACCGGCCCTAGGCCCCTCCTCTGCGGACTCGTCGTTTATTATGGATGCGAATTCGTGTGTCGCGTGCGGCTTCGACCGTTCCCTCGTTCCGCGTGTACGTCGACGACTCGTCTAGTGGAAATGTATCTCGATGTATCTCGATGTAATCTCGTAGTCTAGTAAATTAAAATACTATATTGTTCGAATGTGTTTTATTAACGAATCTACCCTGCAGGTGTATGTATGTTACACGTTTTTTTAAATCTATGTACATCTCACAGTAAACTTACGATTGTAATACAATAGTATCGCGATAGAAGTAATCATTAAAGGAAAAAGAAGAGATCTATCTTACAGTAAAAATAACAATAATAGACTGATTTAAACAATAATAAAAAGATTTACTGAAACGTTAAATATAAATCAAAAGTAAAGAATTTATAAAAAAATACTTAGTAAAGATTATGAATGTGATATACATATCGTCAATGAATAATGAAATTCATTTACTAAAACAAAAGCAAATAATTTTATTTACAATCGGAACGATTTCCTCCACGTGTTTGTCTTAAAGTGTTTCGATTATATCTGTGTAATTTACGCAAGTGCACTGTCGAAAACTGCGTCGATAATAATACTCGTTTCACAGCCTTCATTTTGTAAAGAAACATAATAATACGTGTCACTTTAATACCGTCTAAGTATATGTACAAATGCAATAATAGGAAGTATATGTTATACCAGCGTACGTAGTGTTCGGGCGAGCTGGGTGGACGCGTGTGTGTGTGTGTGTGTGTGTGTGTGTGTGTGTGTGTAAGTGGTAGCGTAAGAAAAGGTAACTTAATGAATCGATAGCTGCACGTGACGTTTCCGTGGATAGTAGATACTGTAATATGCTAGCGCTAGTGTTAACATATGTGATGTAGCGTGGAGCGCTAGCGAGGGAGCGCGAGAGTGGCGAGTGTGGCGAGTGCGACGAGCGTTACGAGTGTGACGAGCGTGACGAGCGTCGAGCGCGGGGCGGCTCGCGAGGCAGTGGGACGACGCGTCATGCGCCGGTGTTTGTCCACGACGAAGATGCGCCCGCCCATACCTGCACAAAAATGTCACATACATTGTTGTCGTTTAACGAGTCGTGCATACGATAATAAGACAAGTGTACAGTACCGCTGTGCGTGAAGGAGTTGTAGTAGAGCAGGTCGGGCCAGGAGGCGTTGGGCGCGACGCTGAGCAGAGCGGGCGCGCCGGCGTCCGCGCAGTCCCAGCGCAGGGAGCGGTTGTACGCGCGGAACGAAGCGTACGCGTCGTCCCGCCGCCGGTCCGCGCCCGCCGCGTGCCGCGCCAGGCACAGCCCGCCCGCTGCGGCACACGGCACACGGCACTGTTACTACACTCATACATTCAGGGAGCGGTTGAACGCGCGGAACGAAGCGTACGCGTCGTCCCGCCGCCGGTCCGCGCCCGCCGCGTGCCGCGCCAGGCACAGCCCGCCCGCTGCGGCACACGGCACACGGCACTGTTACTACACTCATACATTCAGGGAGCGGTTGAACGCGCGGAACGAAGCGTACGCGTCGTCCCGCCGCCGGTCCGCGCCCGCCGCGTGCCGCGCCAGGCACAGCCCGCCCGCTGCGGCACACGGCACACGGCACTGTTACTACACTCATACATTCAGGGAGCGGTTGAACGCGCGGAACGAAGCGTACGCGTCGTCCCGCCGCCGGTCCGCGCCCGCCGCGTGCCGCGCCAGGCACAGCCCGCCCGCTGCGGCACACGGCACACGGCACTGTTACTACACTCATACATTCAGGGAGCGGTTGAACGCGCGGAACGAAGCGTACGCGTCGTCCCGCCGCCGGTCCGCGCCCGCCGCGTGCCGCGCCAGGCACAGCCCGCCCGCTGCGGCACACGGCACACGGCACTGTTACTACACTCATACATTCAGGGAGCGGTTGAACGCGCGGAACGAAGCGTACGCGTCGTCCCGCCGCCGGTCCGCGCCCGCCGCGTGCCGCGCCAGGCACAGCCCGCCCGCTGCGGCACACGGCACACGGCACTGTTACTACACTCATACATTCAGGGAGCGGTTGAACGCGCGGAACGAAGCGTACGCGTCGTCCCGCCGCCGGTCCGCGCCCGCCGCGTGCCGCGCCAGGCACAGCCCGCCCGCTGCGGCACACGGCACACGGCACTGTTACTACACTCCCACATTCTCAGTGTCACCGATTCACGGTTCGTCCGCGTGGTCTTATATTATACATAAAACCTTTCTTTTGAATCACATTATCTATTTAAAATAACCGCATCAAGGTCCGTTGCGTAGTTTTAAAGATTTAAGCATACATAGGAGCAGAGAAAGCGACTTTATTTTATACTATGTAGTGATGTCATTATTTGATTTCTCTCGGTTGGCTTTGTTTAAAATGTTTTGTAGTAAATGTTAAAAAAGTAAATAGAAGTTAGTATTTTTATTACGCTGCTCCGTTGAATTGTCAATATAGACTATGTCGTCTGAAACGATCTGTAAACATAATAACGCCTATTTGAAAATACTTTATAACAAAAATCATAAATATTTAGATCTGGTTCTTTCCACACTACCTTCCGGCCTTGTTACTGTACTTGAGACTGAAGTAATATATCGTTTAGATTTACATCATTTGGCATACAGTATTGAAATAAGCGGTTATAGAAATAAATCAATAAAGCCCAGCCATAAACATCGTTACAACTTTAACAAATGCCACTATGCACGCTTGAAAATGGAATTGAGACGCGTGGACTGGGATAAACTTCTCTCGTCAACTGATATCAATGTTTGTGTTGATGTATTTTATAATAAAATTAACGAACTTATTTCTGGAAACGCACCGTGAATTAGAAACACAGTGTCAAATAAGTATCCCATCTGGTACAGTGGAGCTTGATTCGCTGTGCTAAGGAAAAAAATAAATATCATAAACGTTATAAAATGTACTTAAATCCCCGAGAGTTTGACATTTTTCCCTTGCTATGACGAAGATGTAAGTCTCTAATTGCAGAATGTCATAAAAAAATTCTTTCTTCAGTTGAAGATTCATTGTGTGACGACCCTAAGATATTTTGTAGGAAAGGAGGTTCGAGTATTCCGGTATTCTATGAACCGTTTTTTTTCCCAATCATACACGATTGACAATATGCCAAGTAGTTATAATTTATCTCTGCACGACGTCGACATAACTAGTCGAGAAATTTGTTTAAAAATTAAACAATTGGATACAAGTAATGGTCCTGGTCCGGATGAGCTTCCTGTAAGGTTCCTCAAACATTGCTTCGAGGAACTATAATTTCGATTGGCCATAATTTTCAATAAATCGCTAGTCTGGTACGTTACCTACGCGATGGAAAGTTTCACATCTAATCCCCATATTTAAATCTGGCGTTAAAATTTTGTGTTCTAACTATCGACCGATAAGTATTTTATCCAGTGTAGCTAAGCTGTTTGAGTCTGGTGTATGCACCTCTTTATCACCACTTGATGACGTTTGTGTCTGATAAGCAATACGTCTTTATCAGGAAAAGATCCACATTAAGCAATCTGTTGGAGTTCAAGAACTATATTTGTCAAGTGTTTGCGTCCGGAGGTCAAGTCGATGCTATCTATCTTGATTTTAGTAAGGCATTTGATAAAGTTGATCATCGCTTGCTTAGTCTCAAACTCGAACACTAAGGCATTCATGGGTCCCTGCTTAGATGGTTTATTTCATATTTAAATAATAGGACTCAACTGGTTACCCTAAAGGGTTATTCTTCTGTACCTATCACTGTCTCCTCGGGGGTTCCTCAAGGTTCGCATTTGGGTCCACTTTTCTTTGTTGTTTTCATAAACGACTTGGTCTATCGCGTGTCAAGTCAATCTCTTTTATATGCTGACGAACTTAAAATTTTCATCGAAGTCAGGGACATGGGGCAGTGCATGACACTTCAAAGTGACCTTGATGCAATATCTAATTGGTGCTCTCTCAATATGATGAATCTCAATGTGAAAAAGTCTCACATTATTTCTTTCACCAGAAAGAAAAATAGAGTGAATAATAATCATCACTTGCAGAACCAGTTATTAGGTAGAAAAGATGTCGTAAGTGATCTGAGAGTGCTTTTCGACGAAGAACTTTGTTTTCGTCCTCACTACTTACATATAACCAAGAGGGCTTCTGGGATTTATAAACAGGACAACTAAAGATTTTAAGAGTTCTAGTAGAGTGTTGTTCCTTTATTCTAGTTTAATCAGAAGCGTACTGGAATATTGTTGTTCCATTTGGTCACCATGTTATACTGTACACGTGGATGCATCGGAGAGAGTGCAACGGCGATGTTTAAAATATGTTTCACGCAAATATAATTTTGGTCGGTCACTTAATAGCTATAGTGAAACGTTGACAAAATTTGGTATGATTCGGTTGGAAGTTCGCCGCAATAGATATGACCTCCTCTATCTACATAAAATAGTGCATTCACTTATCGACTCACCTGGGTTACTTTCTTCAGCCCGTATTAATGCCAGGCATTAGTCGCGTTGCCCTAACATATTTTCAATCCAAGTCTATAAAAATAATGGGTCTTTTTATAACCCGATCGTAAGACGTGTCGTACATATAAAGAATTGAATCGTAATGATGGAACTGTCGATATTTTCAATAAAAAAAATCTCAAAATATAAAAAAATAATATCAGGAAAAATTCTATAATTACAATATTAACGCCATTTAATATTGAAATTGACTGTATGGTGTTAGTTATTAAATAAACAACAGTTGGCTGACGTACCGGCGGTGGGCGCGAGGCGGCCGCGGCGCGGGGCGTGCGCGCCCGCCAGCACGCGCGCGCGCCGCTGCACGCCCTCCGGCAGTCTGCGGGCACAACGGGCATTAGTGGGGCATTAGTGCGGTACTGCGGTACTGCAATAGTGCGGTAGTGCCATGCGTTACCTCTCGAGGCCGCCGTCGGGGTCCACGGTGATGATCAGCGGGTGGTACTCCGTGGCCGAGTGCGGGTTGTTGCCCCCCCACACCTGCACGTCACAGAGCGCACGTCAGACTCGACGTTCCCTAAATCTACGGCGGGAGACTCGTCCCGACGAGAAGGCGAAAAACTCGGCGAGGGCCGCTCGTTTCTCCGTTTTATTTCTAGTAGCCCTTGCCGAATTTTTTGCCTTCTTTTCCAAGATCGTTGAGTCGACCGACTCGAATTTTTCATCATCGAGTTTAATTTGTATTAGTTTTGCTTTCGCATTAGGTACCATAAACTTTATACATTTCTTTTTTTTTTACATTTAGCTGGAAATTATTTACAGTAAACCGAGTCATAATTTTTGTTTACATCGTCAAATATATTTCTACGTTTCTCAACATTAAATATTAAAGAAATGTCATCTGCAAACCGTACAGAGTCGCATAGAGGTCCGACAAAGAATGGCAAAGCATTTATGTATATTAGAAATAGAAAGGGACCTGGAATAAATCCCTGGCGAATTCCCATTCTCGCTTGCGAACCAGATGATCTCGTATCGTTTATATATATAATTTTAGTTCTGGAACAGAGGGCGGTGATGTGCACGCACCTGGAAGGTATACTTGAGGCCGCGGCGCAGCTGGATGTCGGGCGCCAGCTGCCCGTTGACGTACCAGGCCAGCGCGGCGCCCCCGCGGGCCCCCTCGCGCCCCGCCGGGCCCCGCGCGCCCCCCGCGGGCCCCAGCCGGAACTGGAACACGCGCAGCGCGGGGTCCGTCAGCTGCGCCGTCTCCCACGCCGCCACGCCGCCGCGCTCCACCTCCTCCTCCCTGCGAGGAGCGCGCCGATCTTTAAACGTCGCATCCTTTGGAAATCGGTATATATTTATCGATCGAACACTCACATGGTGAAAGCGAAACAGTCGTTCTCGGCCGGCTTCTTCCCGAAATCTATGAGCACGTCCCGTTTGGGGTAGAGGCGGTGGAAGGCCGGCTCCCCCGCGCGGTCCAGCGCGCCCACCGCCCACACGGCGTACGCGGGCCGGTCCACGGGCCACTCCCGGTCCATCTCCTCCGCTAGACGAACACGAAGAGGCCATCGGTGATCGTGCTTTTTAATATTACGGAATGAGTAAATTTTATTTTAAACTCCCGACATCTAAACTGACCGTCGTTCGTAATTATAAAACGTTAAAGATCGGAACGGATCGATACAGGGAAAATTTTAGTATACAAATAATGATTATTAAAGTTAAACGGTTTAACGGTTCAACGCAGGGGTCGGAAACCGGTATATTTTTCGAAACGTTTTCATCTTAAATACCTAAAAAACACTTTATTTCGGTTTCGTTCGAACAGAACGATATAAAAAACGATTTTGGAAAAAAACAGAATTATATTGTTTTCGGTTAATAAAACGTTTTTAACCATTTATTTTGCGTTTTTTTGCATCGCATACTGTAAGTAACGTAATAAAATAAATGTACGCCGCCCTTACAGCCCGCGCGGCACCGTCTTGCGGATTAAACCGGTTTTTTTAAACGTTCTCATTTCGTTTTCGTTTCGAACGCAATCTTGCCCAAAGAACCATAAGAAACGTTTTAAAAACGTTATTTTGAATAACGTTTCCGAGCCCTGGTTCAACGGTTCAGATGTATATCATATTTTGATATCTTCCCACGACAGCCAAAAAATGAGCGATGGCGGTGGTGATGGGGAAAGGTGTGCTTCCGTTTGCAACTTAAAAAAAAATTACATCTATATTAAATTTATCATCAGCACAGAGCGAGAAGAGACACTCACCGGGCTGCAGCTGGCGGCGGTAGGAGACGCGCGTGAGGCGGTCCTGCACGCTGCCCGCCAGCACCTGCAGCGAGTCTTGGCCGCCCACTGCCGAGTCGCGGCACACGCCCCGCCAGCGGCCCAGCACGAGCAGGCACGGCGCGCGCTCGCTGGCCCCGTAGTCGGCCGCCACGGGCCGCTGCAGCGCCGCGCTGTACTGCGCCACGGCCACGTCCGCGTCCAGCATGCGCGAGCCCTCCGCGCTGCCCGACAGCCCGAACGCCATGTACTCGTCCGCGCGCAGCTTGCCGGCGAGCTCGACGGTGACCTGGCCGCCGAACACCTCCCACGACACCTGCAGGTCGCGGTGCAGCTGCCGGCAGTGCGGCAGCGCCGTCCGGTAGCCGTGCGGGCGCGTGTGCGCGGGCGGCACGACCAGCGCGTCCGGCACGAGCGCGGAGGCCAGCGACCGTCCGGCGGCGGCGTCCCACACGCTCACCCACTTGATGTCGAACACCGTCTTGCCGCCGGGCAGCTCCAGCCGCACGTCCTCGCCCTTGTACGCCTGCAGCGGCTCCAAACTACACATCGAAACGAGCCGGTTTCCCGTTATTTCGCTCCCGTGTTCTGAATGATATTATTCTAAATATTAGAAAATCGCTTAAATTTGTTATTATAATATTTTGAAGCCGAACTATCTGTCGCGAACGTTAGCTAGTTCCGCTAATTAAAATGCTAATAAATTTTAATTAAACCCGCGATTGACAGACGTGTAATCTGCCTGTAGAAAAATTATGATAGCGAACGATATATAAATGAAAAAATATATATTATCGATTGAAAATAAAATAACATAATATTGTTCTAATATAATATAAACATTAAACGATTCAATCTTCATATGTACACTCACTATCCATACTCATCTGGCACCTGGAATCCTCGCGCGGAGGGTTGCGGCCCCACGCCTGCCCAGAAATATACCTCTTCGCCGCTGCCGTCGTATTTAAACTCTGGAATTCTGATCCCACCGCGATCTCATTAATGATGAAAGATAAATTCAATCTTTAGCTATTGAATACCTTTCATTTTTTTAATCTTAATTTCGACTTGTGCTCCTTTCATTTGAGGTGGGGCAAATCTAGAGTTCTCGATTTCATAATGATTGAATATAAATACAGTTTAAATATTTTGATGGATTTTTGGAAATTATAGCTAAAATATATCAAAAGCAAATCAGGACTCGTCCGAACTCATTATACCTATTGATGTGTAAATACTCACACGATAGTGACTGCATCCACGACTCTCACGGACTGGCTGGTGACGAGACTGTCTCCTATGAGTGGGCCGATGCTCCTCTCCGCGGGCGCCTCGAAGTCGTCCGGTATGTAAACGTCCCCGAACGCGTTCTGAGAGCCGATGTCGTACACCGCCAGCCATTTTATTCGAGTGATTCGTTTGCCCTCCGGCAGTGTAAGACGGACATCCACATTGTAATATCGTTCCAGAATATTCGTTCTAGGCAACGAATAAAATTAATAAGCAAAACAATCCTTCTTTTTTGTTGTTAAACAACCTGTTAAATATTAAAAATCTGGAACAACCGCCTTGCCAACTTTCGACACATGGTAATTACCTAACATATACCGTGGTATGTTAAAGATTATCAAATAAAACAATTCTTAAACAGTTTCATCGCCTTTGTATCATGTTTTATTGACATTTCGGACCTTTTACAGGTTCCATGTTCACATAAGAGTCTTCACAAAATAAGAAGTTTTGACACTTTGACACTTCAAAAACAAGATAGAACGTAAACTTGTAAGTTATCGCCATAATGGGAAATAAATTATTGTGTAGCGAATTGATAAAAAGATAGCATAAATGTTATAATTTTGAGCATAAATGTTAAAAAAGCCGAAAACGATAAACCGTAATGTTCCGTAACAGTTTTGCATATTTTTATGTTTTTTTACATTACAGTATTGGAATAACTTTTAGTTTCAGATGAAATTGCAAAACTTGTAAGCAAACTTCGACTGTCAAAAAGTTTGTCATTTGATTATTTTTCCTCGTGGTGTTGAACTGAATCGATATAACTGTTTTTGGGCATACCCAGGACCCGGCATTTACTTAGTTAACTTATCAATAAAAGCAAATACTTTAACTTTTTCAAGTTTTTTGAAAAAGTTTATCATATTTTATAATGAAAAAGCTATTTCTATTATTATATAAAAAAACAAATCATGCATGCACGACACAAAAAAAAATTACATATTGTAATCGATTACTAAAAAATTGTCGGTATTCTGTTATTGATTTTTTATTGTTAGCATCAGTATTTACGGTACGATGCCATGTGTCAAAAAGGACCTCTTATTTTGTGAAGACTTATAAGTTGTTGATTATCTTTTTAATTAAGACAATAGCTTAAAAAAACATATAAAAAAGAATATGGAAATTCTTATATTTACTAATTAAATTATTTTAAAAATAAATTTGAGTTAACTTTGACAACTATAATATACCTCTAAAATGTCGTTTAAACATTAGCCTTGCACTGCAGAGATAATTAAAACTGTTATAATATTAGGTCCTTACATATGAAATTATTGTTTCGTATGGGAGGAACAAAAAGTCTAATATTTTTTATTATAATATATTTATTTAATCAAAATATAAACCATTGCTATTTTTGCACTTTTGCCATCTCATAGGTAGTTCATTGATCCCCTTACTAAAAAAACCATTCGGACGGGAATCAATAAAATCTTTGAAGGCGATTTGCACTGCCCCATCGGAGTTGATTTTTTCCCTTGCGAAAAGTTATGTAGATTTGGAAAAAAAATTATAATCTGTTGGAGCAAGATCCAGGGAGTACGGTGGATGTCTTAGATATTATAATTGAAGCTCTTCTAATTTGGTAGCCCTCTGTTGTGTAGTGTGTGGTCTAGCGTTGTCGTGAAGTAGCAGTGGCGTAGAGCGATTGACCAGTCTCAGTGTTTAACAGCTAGTTATCCAGCATGATTTGCAATTGCTGACAATAGACGTCTGCCGTAATCGTCTGGCCAGATTTGAGAAAACTGTAACGATCGATACCGGCACTAGTCCACCAAACGGTTACAAGTAACTTTTCTGGGCTCAATTTTCGCTTGGGGCAGAATTTGGCTGGCATGCCATTGCGATGAGCGCTTCCGATTATCGTAGAGAACCCATTTTTCATCACAGGTAATGATTCGATTTTAAAACCCTTCATTATTGTGCCCGTTAAGTAATGTGTGCGCGTTTGCCGGTTTGCTTCACTCAATTCGTGAGGTACCCACCTTTCAAGCGTTTTAATCTTTCCAATTTGCTTCAAGTGGATTAAAACAGTTATATTACTAACACCGCAGTCTGCAGCTTACTCGGACGTGGTTTGCGATGGGTCCGCTTCCACAATAGCCAGCCTTCAATTCTTCATTATTAACTTGGGTCTTCGGCCGTCCACGGGGCTTGTTGTGATGGTCGAAATTTCCAGAACGAAGACGTTGGAACCAAAACGCAGTGTTTTATTTTGCGACACAATCGCCATACACAACACTAACCCTCCGAGCCGTTTCCGCAGCACTGGTACCACGGCGGAACTCGTACTCGTAAATAACACGATATTTCAAGCTTTCCATTTTTACAATATTAAAAATGGATGACGTAAATAGGACAAACAGAAGAAAAAAAAAATGAAAGCAGCTTAACGAAACACAAATACTTGTGTAAATGGCTGTATAAACTTGAATTTGGAATTTATTTATCAGGCTCTCACAACAATGAGTACACTAAAACTACAATAAAAATTACATAATGACAAGGTTATTTACTAAGTGTCCCATTATTTATAGGAGGGCACCGTTTGCATTGATAGATCAGTACACACTTCTCCCACACATAGGCGCTCCAGGCGAGCCACAGCAGCACTATGAGAGACAAGCAAGCGCGTCACAGCCGAGCGACCAAAACGTCCATATATTAGAACGCGTTTAAATGAATTCCCGAACCAAGGAGGAGAAATTTGTGATTAAAGCAGCCAGTACGACAAAAGCCAATTTCATATGTGAGGACCTAATATTATTTATAATTGTTATCATGACGATTAACAACAGCAGATGCAGCCGTGACCAACGGCTTAACGTGCCTAACGAAGCACAGAGGAGTTCGAGATAATACATTTTTGGTCATCCATCCTGTGACCGACCATTGCGAAAGTTGCTTATCAACCATATCACAGAAACGAGCTAGCCACCATCTATGTGATAAATATTAGTAATTTAAATTATGAAAATCTTAAATAAGATATAGAATCAGATTAATTGTCACAACTATGTTAAGAACATTGATATAAGTACCAAACTAGTTATGTAATTTCATATTAGAATATAAATAATTAAAAAACTGAAACAAAAACTGAATTCTTTTGACATCCAGATCTACATAGTGGGATATTAGAAAAATTACTTTGAAATAAAATATTTTTTTATAGATGAAAACCAAAGTTGTCTGACTCATACAATTATTTTATCTTTTTGTAGCTTCTTGATTATGTGGGTACTATTACATCTTTTTGTTTTAAATTTCTGTTTATATTTCACCCTCAATGAATTAGTATGTGGTTTTGCTATTTATTTTTTCTAATAAAGAACTATTTAAATGCTTTTGTGTCTCTTATTTGTATCTTATAAATGTATGTGCTATAATAATAGTTGAAAATACAACAATATTAGAAATGCACAATAGAAATTGAGTGAAGTGGACTGTTGGCCCAAATATTTGATCTTAGAAATTGTTAAATGCATGATTATAGTATGTGACTACAATAGGTACTTACTTGCCATTTTGGTCGGGCACTATAAACCCTTGAGGCCCGGGTCGTTCTGATTCACCAGCCCAGAAGAATGTGTCATCTCCTGTCCCGTCATAATTGAAATTCACCAATAGAACTGTCCATTCATCGACAGCATACACATCACCTGACACCTACAAATAGTATAATAATAATATACAAAGTGTAAGAAAAACATTATTTTACTAGGTTTAGCCGGGGCAGGGCATTTATGCCTAATCAGGTATATATTGGCTCCCATAGTAATACCTATTTATTATAACCGAGAAAAACTAATTATTTTGGATACTATATAATTGTTGTAGATCTACTTTTGTAATAAGTAATATTGAAGGAAACAAAAGTAATATTTCAGTTATATACCAATGTGAAAATCCACACCTTTGTCTTGTGTTAGGAAGGACATACGTATACTTAAGGTTACAATATGGGAGAACAATAATATTTAATAAACACTAAAATAAGTGATATTGGCAGTAGCATACTTGATGGTGGTAGGAGTTGAGTTTGCCTATGTATTTGCCAAAGTAGGGGCCGTCTTCGTCCTGCGTGGAGCAGTCTGTAACGATAACAACAAAGTTTGCAATTTGGTGAAAGTTTGTGTCGAGTAGAGTTGACAAAGTTAAAATTCCTGGGTTTCGTACCGTTTGCTGCGAGTGTTAGTAACAGTAACCACTTAAAGTACATTGTTTAGTCACTACAGTAAAGTTTAAATCAAATAATGCACAAATAAAATGTCATAACATTTTTCCACTTATTTCGAGATACCACTTCACCAACTGACTGACAAAGTTAGTCAACTTTATTTCCGGTTTTTTGACATGTCATATCAACTTTCTGCTTGTAACTTGTTCAAGGTCTCGTCTGTGATTCGTTAAGCGCACGTCAACAATTTGAATTCACCAATCAAAGAATAGAAACTTGGAAACTTTCACTTTCTATTTCCTTCGAGTACCCCTTAAGTCTTGCAACAACAAAAATAGCTTTGATGAAAGCCTTTTAACGCTCGTTCAAATAAGTATAAATATAATAAATATAAGTTTAAATACTTTAAAAATTTGTTTTTATATAGGGCTTTTTTAATTTATTGGCCCAACTTTAATGCTAGTCAATATAAATTAATGACATTAATACAACCATATAGGCATTTTTTTTAAAACTTGCAATACTTTGTTACTTATCTGTCAAATGAATGACTGTCGAACGAGAAAAAAGGCGGAATATTTAGGCGGAAAGCAAGCGGGAAGACAGAAATAATATAGCAAAAAATTGACTTATTTAAAAAAGTGGGATTATGAGCCTTCAGTCAGTGCACAGATTATTATATATTAATAGTCAGCCACAGAGGAAAATTCCCTCAGTGCTAGTAGATATGGTTTGAAATATACTGTTTGTTAAGATTGCGTTATTATAGAACTTTAATCTCCGATTATAAATAAAATAATTTATTTAAATAATCGTGAAAAACTATTTCTCAACTATGTACATAAATATTGCTAAGCTAAAATGTATATGAGAATTATATCAATAGTAGAAAAACAGACAGAGATCGGCAAAATATAACTACATTCTGCATTGAAAATTGCAGGTTGTAATGTTAATCTTTTATAAATTTATTAATGTATCTCTAAGTGGTAACCATATATTTTGATTATATTTGTGGCACTCACTGACCCGACTACCTAATATTCTAACATTCCTAACCTCGTTGTTAGAGTGTGTTCACTAATGTCAATGAAGCTTATCGAGTGAAGAGGGCTAGTGAACGCTCGAGCGCAGCCGGCGGCGGGTGATGTGAGCAGGCGGCGGCGAGGTCACCGATCGCTCGCTACACTTTCACTGCTGCGCATCATCTCCTCACAGACACCCTATACATAAGTTACTTTAATACACTAACCGTCCCACCGAACTTCGTACGTCAAGCAGTACTTCAGGTTGATAGTACCTACAACAGCAAAATGCTAGTAGTTGAGATTCTATTGAGATATGTGATCATTAAAAATTAGCAGAATTGAAGCCTAACTTTACGTACTTGCTTACATTAACATTGCTGTGTTCATGAAGCGTTGTGAGAACTACTCAAGCCTGGATCTATGAGTGCTTTTAATCGAGGCAGAAACATCCGGGCCTGGAACTAGGTACTAGTTGATGACATCGATTGGAAACAAACTGAACTGGAAGACGGGACAGGGGGCAATTTTGTTTATTTTGGATATTGTTCATAAACAAGGTTATTGTTGAAACAGGTAATCTTTATTCAATAAACTTATGTTTCCACGATCGGATTTTTTAAATCTTTTATTTATAATCGGTCTACTAATTTCGGAGCCTATTCAATGCAAACAAACAATCAAATCTTTCTTCTTTATAATATTAAAGCTTTAAAGATATGGATTCACCTAATATAGATATTGTTGCAACATCCACGCCATTAGTTTCATATTTCAAACGCCGTGGTTTCAGACTCAAACATCTATCTAATCGATTATATAGTCGTCGATTACATAGGAAATGCGAAGTAAAATCATACCTTACACCACCTCTCTGATCATGTAACGTTATGTTATTCAGAAGGTACCAATATAGTTTTTGTGTTGTGGTATATGTGGGTAAACGTAGTGCAAGTATTGTACCTATTAATGTTAGTATAGGTAATATACTAGCAATATTTGTTACACAAAACTACGTCTCTAATATCAACTAAATATGTTAAGTTCTCACTTGGACCATATACTAAACAGTATGACCAGTCACTGACTTAGTCTAGTGGTGATTACGTAAATGTCATGTCTGCTTCCGAACACAAAGCTAGGGATAATTCTTCAAAATTAGGTAATAGGGTAGTTTCGGTAGTGAAAAATAAGTCACGAAATCAACACTGTCCCTGTCACCAGATTTGAAGACAGGTATGATCACAGACTTTTAGGGCAACACAGGAAAAATTCCGGAAGAAAACACCAAGTTACATATTTTTATCACAATGGCATCCGCATCCCCTATCATTGGTTCAAAGCTACACGTATCAAGATCGTTTCGGACGTAAACTACAACCCCACTATTATCATTGATATGCCGTATCGATGCACAGCATTATAAATCAAATTCCTAGGTGGCGCTGTTTAAGGCAGCGTATTTACATCTTTTTATTTCGTATTCAATCGCTAGATGGCAATGATCTTGTTTTATTGACATCTTTTAATCTTTATGCATCTGTTCTGTGTACATATCACAATGACGACATTGTTTTCGCAGTTATAAAAAAAGATTTAATTTTGATTTAAGTTTAAGGTAGGAAAATGTGTTCTTTTTTACCGAAATATTTGTTTTATTGCTTTTTTTTAATTAAAATAAACACTTGGAAGTATTTTTTCAGACAGAGTAGAATACCCTATTTCTTTTTTCTTTTGCATACTTTTTATTAAATTTTGGATCTTCATCATCACGACCACATTCGCGATGAGTACTTTTAATCACGTCGAATATCTAATTGTCTGGATTTTATTTGCTTTTATAAAGTTTAAGTCCGAAACACTCAATGTCGTAGTGTGTGACACAACAATGCTCCAAGGAATAAATATTCTGGATGATTTATTTATACCTACTACGAAATGGACACTTACTACTTACCTACTTACTTACACAGTACTCATCGATGTTTGGGCGAGTCTGCCTTAGTGTTCTCCAGGATCGACAATGTGCAGGGGTTGAGTGTGGAGCCGTCCTTTCTATGTGGCCAGCCTTTAATTAATTCAATGAAATGATACATGCCGCATGAATAAATAAGCATACTGAAGTTAAGTATGTCCGATCGGAAGTTCGGTTTCGGTCGAGTTTGGCATAAAAACGAGTATTGGTTTAGTTTCGGTTTCGGTTTCGTTAGTAAACCTGCGCCATTCGGTGAAGAAAATATTATGTCGCGTCGTCGTGCTTAATCATGTGTTTGCAGTTCGACTTGTATTCTTGTGACTTATTTGGAAATAGGTATGTTGTATCACGTGACATAGCATACGAGCCAGTAGTAAACACCAAAAAAGTAATTCAATTTAACAATCTAATTAGTTAATACACTACAGTAGAACCAAGTTGATCTATTTTTTTATTAATTTTACACTCACTAATAGATTTAAACAAACATTTCTTACCTATCGTATAAAATTGTTTAATATTATGAATAACGATTACAAATATCTATTTGTAATTATGAGTAAGTATAATGTCGTCGCCTTTTGCATTATTATAAAGAAATACGATTAGTTTGTAATGAAGTCGTTTAGCATTTGCTTTTTTTACTGAAGTATCAAACAAAAAACTCAATAAAAGTTAAAATTAATACTTATCTTAAAAGCGATTTATTCAAGAAAATGCTATTAAAGTGGGGCGTAGGTTTTCTGGGGGTTATAATTTCAAAAATAGGCGCCCGATTTTGGTCGAATTTTCTTGAACACGTCGTTTTTGAGATAAGTATTATTTTTCCCTTTTCATGGTTTTTTGTGACATTGATTAACATTAAAAATAATTTTCGTGACAAAATCGGTTCAGTCAAACGCGAGATAATCGCGGACAATATATACAACACGTGTTAAAGTGAGAACCGCCACTTTTTAAGTCTCTTTTCTAGTAATTCTAGCACAGTCGCAGAGGTCATCTGAGATATATTTGCATTTGTAGATTACTAGCTAAAATGTTTAATCTGGCGGGGTAGCAAGTCGTGGGGCAAAGGTGACATATTTGGTTTTGTCGGTGTTAAGTGTAAGTCAATTTGGAGATAGCCATCAATGCTGACTCCGCACATGAACAAGTTCTCGACCAGTTACTCCCATGTACTTGACGATATTATCTGCATAAGTAATGATTTCGGAGTTCAACAATGACGTCATACAAAGTTCCTTTATGAAGACCAAAAACAATGTAGGTCTAAGGACACTACCTTGAGGTACTCCATAAGTAATACATATCGCATTAGTAGTATAACCATCAATTTTAACAACTTGACAACGTTCAGATAGTTAACTACTGAAAATTGGAACAGAGACAATGTCTACAACTCTAGGAAAATGATGATAGTTTTTAGTTTTTTATTCAAGTTAGATGCCACACAGTTACAGCCAGTTGCACAAATGTCCATTAAAATGTCCTTTTACAAGTGTTCTGTAAAAGACTAAACTGAATAAACAATTTTGATTTTGTTTTTTTTTTATTTAGGTTTTTTTAGTAATTTAGATGGTATAGCGAGCACTGATATAGGTCTCAAATTGTTTACAATAGCGTGTACTTGTACATGGATGTACCAGAGCTTTCTTAAAGAGTCCTGGAAAAGTACCAGATGCAATGCAAAGATTAAATACGTGGCATATGATAGGTATCATATGCCACGATATCATAGCTGAGATGCCATCCCATCCAATGGCACAATCCTGCTTAAGATCGACTATTAGACGCTCAATCTCCGTGTTCTATTTTTTTACCCCAATGTGTCTCCACTTCACCCCAAGGTTGACTGGAAGATAATGCCTCAGGCATTAAGTCCGCCTATGTACACTTGTGCATGAAGAATTCAATATATATGCTTTTAGGTTGAGTTATCCTACAGATACGTGTCTATCGACACAATGTTTTTGTGTAGGTAATATTACTCTCATTTCCCTTCTCGATTGGAAGAGAGTGCCGCAATGTCTCGTAGATAATATAATTATAGTGATGAAAGTTACTTCGCGACGTGTGTAATGACTTTTTATGTGGCTGAGTAGACAATACGCAGGCCTCGTGAATCGTGAACCTCTCTGATAACACAAATGGATGCGTGCAGACGGTAGGTACACTACATTATACGCATATATACGCATGCACGTGAGGGACAATATATCGAATAGTGGTATCCAGTGCCAGGTTATATCCTATCATAAGTCTGAACTTGATTTCTTGTTATCACCTAGTGTAGATACTCAGAATACGGCATACTGCTGTAGTACATTGAATGGTTACAGCTTTACGACGTCGCTGTCTCTCAATCTCCGTTAACGGATCGGTTACGGGTGTCTTTCATTTTGACAAACAAAATGCCCCTCGTTTGCATGTGGTTCAAATGCTTTTGGTTACCAGGTAGGTTCGTAAAGAATTTATATTGATGGATGAATATGTGTAACTAGGTATAATAAGATTGATTAAAAACTCAGACACTAAACGAGTTCCGAAGCGAGTTTATTTTAATGCTACATCTTCATAGACACTGCAAGGCCTTTTGGACAATTCTAACTAAACAAAATGTATATACGTATTCATTAAATATTTTGTAATCTGATATTTGTCAATCAAACATCCTTCAAACTTACTATAAATATAAATATACTTATAAAAATGAAAGTTTATGTTTCGTTTTTAGTCAACAATATTTTAAGAAAAAAATGACTCGGAGATGGTTGAAATCCATCCATTACCTCATGAATGAATGTGTCATTTCTTTATTCTATTAATAAGTTTTTAGGTAACCTAGGTTATATAACAACACCTAAATTCACAAAACGAAGTAATGAGCAGACGCATAGGTCACATTAAATGTGGCGTATTGTTGTTTTTCCACAAATAGATCTAAATTGTTAGATATATTGCTAGCAACATTTATGTACCGGTAACAGTTTTAGAATGTATTGCGAATTTCATTGCTCGCTCCAGAGACAATATCTCCGTGATTGCGAATCAAAATTCGACACGTATGCTATATGTTTGGTTGCTCTGTTTTGTGGAGTACAACATATAGCCATCAGTTTTATGTCATGTGCCAAAATAATTTATTGTTTATTGAATTGACAGTTCGATAATAGTATTACGTATTACCACAGTGTAGTATTACAGCGAAACTTGGTCAAGTGGGCAAAACACACAAACATTTACAATGTAACTACAAAATTATTCATTAGGTATACTACATTTCTTGCTCTTACATTTGCTGTATTTTGAGTGATTAATATTTGTCTTATAAACTGAAGTTGAAGATAAACAGAGTTAGACTTTAAGACATTTTCTCTCATAACAGCTTATTTCGAAAATTTGTTGCGTTTGATTATAAAGTTATCTGTAGGACATGTCAGGAGGAGTGAAACAAACATATGAGTGTCGTGTGAAGCGTCATTCTGTGTAGAATCGATTCACTGCGAACGAGCGGTATGGCGCTGGTCGTAAATATGACTCCAAGTAACAATTGTCTAAGATAAAGCTTTGTTATTGATGATTACAATGCGGTTACTCAATTAAATTTTAAAATAGCCCTGTTACCGGGAATTTTCAAATGTTATCGGAGATTTATTTCATAAATTTTTTCAATGTTTTTTAATTGGGGTTTTGTAACTTAATACCATTTGTCAAGTTAATCAACGACATCTCGATCTCGAGTACCTATTGGTGGATGCAAGATGTTTTTGAAAAAATATTCAATTTATCAGCTCATTTACCTACTTTTATCTGAATAGTACAATAAAAAGTACAAAATCTCAACTGACTTATCTCAATAACTTAAGTTTTTTACGTTTTGCAAGGCAAAAAGTTTTAGTTTTATCAAACTGCTATTAACTAATTATTGGAAAAAATTAAATCAGAAACGAAAACCTGTTTAAGAGACGTTCAAGATGGCTTAAGTACGGTTTGAGACGAGCTTAACTTTAAATTCTCAATTCAGAAACCGGGTGGTAACCATATTCTTTGAATATAATAGAAAGTTAATTTGTCTGTAAGTCTGTAATGTCTGTAAGAATATGGTGTGTTTTCGTTCTTTCGTCCTTCGCGAGTTATTCCATTATTTAAAATCAAATTTCCTTATATAATATTCAGTTTTTGTTATAGTGAAGGTAACTGACCTTAACATTTCATCTACCTGGACGTAGGCCGACTAAACCAAGGCTCTCCAACTGCAGGGGATGGTGGTCCAGTGCAATTATCCTACACGACAAAACGCGAGAGGGTATTACCCTCTCGCGAGGCCCTGGTATCTGGCAAGGAATGTCCAGGACATCCAGGTGCAATGGACGAGCGCCAGCCCCGTTAGAGAAAGAAGAGGCGCCGTTGGTCAATAGAACTAAATACCTACCACATAATATGTTCACATTAAAGTTTAATGGTTTTTTTTTATTATAACTGGGATCCTGCCTTTTCGCCGAAAATTATTTTGCCGTTTATCACTTGCCAACCAACGTTTCACCTATGGTTCACTTTGACAACTAACGATTAGAAAATTTTTGTAAGACAACATTTCATTCGGTAGAATTATCGTTAAGCTACTAATTATTAAGACAGAAACATTTGGGATATTTATCATTTGTCTAATCTTTCACTAGATCACATAAATCTTAGATGAATATCGGTTCGTCAAGGTAACAGTTCCTTTTTCATACATTGATAATTTGACGTTTTTTCCTCTGAGTATGTAGATTTGTGTTCAAGAAGTTTGTCATGAGTATAGCATCAGAAACATATAGGTTAGGTTTGGTTCGGTTAGTATATGCTAAACAATACATAAGCCGAGCGAGAGGAGGAAGCGTACCGCGGCAGGGGTAGGCGAAGTGCTAAAAACAAAGCAACAGTTAGATTAGTTTAGGTATATTTGGTTAACAATAAACAACAGTGAAAATTATACTGAGTGAAACAATTTGCAACTTGAAACTTGGCTTTTTAAAAAGTGTCATTATAAAGGAATGCTGAGGTCGAGAAATAAATTAAGATTTTATGATAAGTTGGCAAATAATTATTCAGAGAAATAAAATTTTAGGAAACGTTAGTTGGTAAGCGATAATCAGTCAAACAATTTTCGGCGAAAAGGCAGAGAACTGTCTCACTGTCCTTTTTGTTTGAAGATATTTCATGCTAGAACTACTTATGTACTTGACTATCGCTATTCTGTTAACTTTTATAGAAGTACATTCAAATGCAGACAATGTACACACATTACAAAAATAACAATTTATGTAGATACAAGCAACAAATAGTTCTAGAATATGAAAGCTCAATAAATATTATCATTATAAGTAGCTAGCTATTTACCAAGCTGTGAAATACTTAACGTTTACTAGTGTTTGAAGAGTGAGCAATGGTGTCTTCGGAGCGAATAGGTAATAAGCATCTTAACATCATTACACTTATAAAGCGTGAACATTCTCTATAGTTCGGGAGACCTTGAGGTTTAACTTTTGGTTATTTTTACCGAATCTGCTTTTTGATGGAGGTTGATCAATATATGTAAACATGTGGGATGATTGCAAGTGCATCTTGCACAAGGTGCGTTTGCGCAGCAAAACCGACGGTGGAACCCGCGCGGAGACAGTCTCGCGTCGACCTGCGCCGTGACTAGACGCGCGCTCGGACTGACATAACTAGTGATTATAGTGAATGGGCTCCAATATGAGGACCGGAGTGGCTCTCACGCTGCTGCTCATCATCGGTAATTTTTATTCTCTGTATATTATATAAGCTGCATGCTGCAGTAGATTATTATTTGCGATTGTCGGAAATGAATAATTTATATTTATCTTATTTTATTTTCGTAGTATAATCTAAATAATGTAAACATTTACAAATTTCGCTAAGCAATTTTTGCAAAGAAAGAGTAAAAGTAAATTATTGACTGTTGACAAACAATGTTGAGTTATTTTTGTGGTGTTACGACTACATTTCTGATCCATAATCGATAGTAGAATAAAATTGTATGAAATAGCTTTTTGAACCAAGCTGTACTTAAATAAATATGAAAATAATAATGAAATATTATTATTATTAGTTTCCGTTGGCACAGATACAGTAGTCAATAGATACTTGCGTTTTCTTAATAGTTTCGGGTAGTTAAGTATCACGCACTGAACATTGGAAGATAACTGGTCGTAACTTTCTCTGGTTAATTCAATAGTAAGCAAGAACACTTACATCACTGATGCGTTTAAATTATATCAATGACGTGCTGAGTCGTATGTATTAAACAACAAGACGAGGGTTTTATACTTAAGAATGTCGCAGTATCAAAACATTAAATGGAAATAATGAAAATATACCAAAATCATAATGTGTAAATAATTAAAAAGGGGAGTCAAAAAAATGTAGTCCGTTCTAAATATCTATTTAAATAAGTAGATATTGTATACATTCTCAAATGACAAACTATTGCCATAGATGATGATGTTTTGCAAAAATCAAACCCGTAACCATAGATTACAAAATTAGGGGCATTTGCCACTTGACCTCATGATCGTAGAAGTCAACAAGAGTTACGAGTTAAATCAATTAATTAATCACATTTAAATAATAGGATATAAAAGCATGTCCACATCGCGTAGTTGGGGATCGATTTTTCAGTTATTACCTACATGAAAGTCAAATCAAACATGGAATCACCGAGCTGTTTAATTTTTAGATTTGCAGAAAGCTACTATTATAATCCACCGACTACTTTTATACAGAATTTTTAAATAAACGATTATTTCGTAACATAAAATTATCGCTATGCCTCTGGTGCTAACGAGTAGAGAGTATTGCATTATAATACTTCAAACGTAAGGCTACAGGACTGGGTACATGAGAGTGGTCGGTTATGTAGCCTTCATGATCGATGGTTCCTCCGTCACATCATATGTCACTAGCGCTTTCTATTCATAGATCCGTAACAAGAGTTCCTTTGTTCTAAACACAGGGAGTTGTATAAGTTATTTGAAAGTTATTATCTTTTATAAATTCATATTTTGATTAATGCCTTTCATAAAATTTGCAACCGCTTAGTAATGCTTAAAAATACACCCGGCCCAGGTATTTTTAAATATTTTTTCTCAGACATATGAAAGTATACATACATCAATATTTTATATTGAAGAAACTACTTAACTAACGTATGTTATAATTGAACTTGTATTCCCGATTTTCCAGTTCAAGATTTTAATAAAAAGACGAATACATCACGTCGACCCTTTCCTGCGATAGCCAAATATTATTTATTTAATAATGTATCGACTAGAATGAAGTCGTACTAAAATTCTTTATTACAATTTTTCTCTAAAATGTTGTTATTTTATCTGGAGCGATGTGGGTGAGAGACGTATATATTTGTGTGGAATTGTGTTTTAGTGGTAGGTATATTATAAATGTGATCCTCCGGTCGGTAACGGTTCTCTTTAGACTGTTATCAAAATTGCGGTCTGTAACGAATACCGGTAGAGCTTACCGGTCGGTGCATGCGCAGCCTGGGACGTCCGACGGACGGTGGTTAACTAACTGTATTGCCAATTTTTTCTAAGGTTTATTTTTCAATTTGAGTAACTTATTGTTTCATAGCCTAAATGTTATTCGCAAAAAGTGTTAAATCTTATTAAGAAAATATTTCATAAAAGTTAAAAAAAAATCTGGATTTGTTTGGTTTTAGTTAGATAAATTGATTAGAACATAAATAGAAGTTCGAAGGCGACAATGTCAAATCTGACGATGTTTTTTGCAGTAAATTTACGATTCAGTAGCCTCACATTAAAATAAGGCTGCGCAGTCGCCGGCCCACCGGTGGCTGCGTAATGTTGGCGCCGGCGCCGGTGCCTCGTGCGGTGCAAACGAACGACTTTCGCGATTTATATCAAGTTTACAACCTTTAATAAATAAAAACCTGTGGAAGCATGTTAACAGATAGCCTCTTTAGCTCCATGATATATTTTAAATATATGTAGAAAATAGTCAAGTAGTGAGTAATATTTAAGTGCAAAGCTGGTGAATGTAAGATGATTACGAAAATAAATTCGATGTTATTTTCGTTGCCGATATAACTTTATAAAATAAACTTATAGATAAATGGCAGTATTTTATATATTTTACTTCCCGCCTCTTGTGTCTTATGGAGAGCGTTATATTAGTGATCAGTGTCTTTCCGTGAATTTGTAATGTTAAAGATCGAGAGCTGAGCTCATTTAAATAAATCAGTCTCATTTTATTTTTATATATAACATACTTAATGTTTGATTAAGTAACTAGAGTGCCGGTTGGTTTCCATCTTTATGAGATTTCTAATGAATACTTTTATATAACTATCAGCCAATGAGTTGAAGCCGGTCTGTTTGATAAAAACAGTAACTGCATGACGGAATTGTCAACCCTAGGTATTTTTAAAGATTCTTCAGAAGGTAAAAAATAAATAAATTATCGATATATCTGTGTTGTGGTATTTCTAAAATGTAGGACATATGATAATTTCTTTTGTTTGTCAAAATGCATGCAGGGTAAAGAAAATATAGCCATATCTTATCCTATGGACGTAAAATAAAGTCACTTGGTCTGTGTTCCTGGTAAATATGTAACAATTGTTGGGGGCTCCAAATAGAAACCTATTTATTTCCATTTTTTCACAAAACATAATGTTTGAGAATAAACTAATAATGTTTTATAATTTGGTAAACTAACAGTCCAAATTTGATTTAGAAACAACTTTTAAATGATTTCATCGCGTTTGTATTATGGATAGTGCGCGTGAAAATACAAGAAATTAATATTTATGTTTTTCTATAAATTAATTGCTGTTAGTAACAAATGACCATACCTCAATCCTTGAGATCACAATGTACTCTGACAATATTTGTTCAACGCTTAATTTTTTAATAAATCAATGTCGATTTTGCAATGTTTTTATTTGATATTGTAATGGTCCTAAATTGGAAATTTGTGCAACATTAAGGAGCTTAAACGGCGATGCTAATCAATATCATATTTGGATTTTTATATTGACTTTAATTAGTTGCCACGTTCAGTGCATAAATAGTTTCGACCATGGAAACAAGATTTGGAATTTTAGGTCTCTAAAATATATGCATAATTAAATAATAACGAAGTTTCTAAGTCATCGGTGCGTCTCAAGTGTTGATTATTATTATTTATTTTTTTTATTTCGACTTACAAAACTGATTACAATCAAAAATATAAACAATACAACTTTCACAAAAAAGAAACTGGATTGTAACCTTCTAGATGTAAGTACAACATGCATTTTAAAAATTAAACAATTTTTTCACAGAAGTGACTACAGCCGAAACATAAAATAATTTAAACTACAAAATATTAGTAAAGTTATCATGCTTTTCTCAAGAACCAAAAACAGATCTTAAGCTCTGCCTAGCAGAAGCAATAGACCCGTTGAATATGTCGAAATTAAATCTTATTGATTCATAGCTAGAACACATGCGATATAGCGGTGAATGCTGACCGAGACGAGTTCTACGGAGTGGCAATGTAAATGTTTTTCTGTTATGTATTCGACTCCCAATCCTCGGAACTGTGATCTTTATTTTTTCCAAAATATCAGGGGAGTTAATACAACCGTTCAATAATTTAAATATAAACATAATATCCAATATTTTTCTGCGGTCGTGGAGCTTAATCATTTTATAATAGGATAGACGGGATTCGTAAGTTGCAATTTGACGACATTTATAGTCAGAGAATGCCAGATGATACAAGAAACGCTTCTGCACTAGTTCCAATCTATTGGAATAAACTTGGTAACCTGGATTCCATACTGGACAGCAATACTCTATTTAAAAGTAAACAAGCGAAAGTGTACTTTTCAAATTCCAATAATTTGTTGTGAATTGTTTAATAGAGAAATTAATGTTCACTGTACTATATAGGTATATAGTGTGTCCATACACACTATTATTTTTGTAATGTGATGCACGTGTGCTGTGGTGGCTAGATCGCAGTCAATGTCACATTTGGATAACATTTCACTCGAGTCCAGTAATATCATATAAACGATTACAATTATTCTAAGAGAAATCAGTTAAAAAGAAAACACAAGCGGCGTAAATACCATACCAGTGAGACGTGTACAATAAAATGTATGTGAAGTGAACAGTCGGCGTTCGGACAGTTTACGCGACTTTCTACAGTGACGAGCACTTATTGGTAACAATTGAGGATAATTTACTTTCTTGTATAAAAATCTTGTTAACTTATTATTGACGCTGTTTGTTCCTGTAAGGATAAAAAGACTCTCCTACAACGCAATGTTTCAAATAACTTTCGAGCTTTGCGAACAAAGTATACAGAAGCGGAAACTGAACTTGCCCGCGTATATTATACTCTATCATATAGCGCGTAGTTTCCCACGGGTGATTTTTTTTTAAAATGGTCCATTAGTTTGGGAGCATATCAAACCTGATATTTATTAATTACCGTTTTAACTACCTTATATTTTTATCAAAATAACTTTTCATATTTAGTAATAATATAAGATTTTACTAACATTTGTTGAATGACTATGAGTTTGCTATGATTACTGACTATAAGTGATAGTGAGGTCTTAAAAAAACTTTTAAAATATTATGTTTGTCTACAAGGATCCTTTAATCTAGGTTTTAATTGTTCGATATGACACATTAATAATTCAAGTATGTGATCTGGGCGTAACTTAATTCATGTGACAAG